ACCTATATATTTTGATCTCGATACATAAGTTAAGCCTACTTATGCAGGGAGCGAAAAATATAGGGCAAGGCAGAAGGACGTTATAATATTAAGCTGCAGAGTAAATTCAAGGAGAACATTTGTGAAATAATATACTAACAAAAATAATAAACAAAAACTTACGTAAGTGCATGTTGGCAGCGCGCAAATATAGATCAGCACCAGGAGGACCATGACGAACCATTCTCGTCTTCTGCCAAGGCGCGTGGGTACTCATCACAGAGAGCTGTGATCATTGCTTCTAATCCTCCAAAAGTGCTGTCCAAGCCCAAGGTAATCAGCATCAAAAAGAATCAAAAGAAGAGAATGGACCAAAAGACACTGCCTGACATGGTTGCTATAGCTTCGGGGTACACTATGAAAACTAAACCAGGGCCTTCCAAGCCAACTTGTTCGATCGATTTGTTTTGAACATGGGCCATGTACCTGGAAAAAAAGTATTATAAATCAATAAAAATTTAAAGCAGAAGCCAAAACACAGTTAAATATTCACTCTTGGTATCAAATTAGAAATTAGACAGAACCTGGTTAAATAATAAAAGCATAATTGGTAAAAAAATATAGTACAAAACTTCAACATCTTTCGAACACCTTTCGCTTGATTTGTATACAGTAAAACTTTGTGAGATTGGGACTCAAGAATACGATTTCAATTTAAATCATCATTTATCTATTTCATTTCCAATGCGACAACATAGGTCAGTTCAAACTTTTTACCAGTTTTGATGTAATTGCAAATTACAAGATAAAAACATAATATTATTAATATTTAATTTATAATGGGATAAATGTAATCTTTGTTATTGAAATTAATTTACAAACTATTATATGACAACGTATCATTGGATATCTTCTTATACTCGTACATAAAAATGAATCGCAAAATGTGTTGGTAAGTGCATAACTCAGCAACGCCAGGACCAATTTGTTCAATTCTTTTTTTAAAATCTTCGTTGAAGTCCAAAGATGGTTCTTACGGCGAGAAAAAATGAATAATTGCCGGGAAAACCCTAAAAACAGCCCTGTTCTTTTTCTCAAACAAACGTTTTCTAACTAAAACGTAGAATAAATTTGAGCTTTATTGCTATTATATAAAGTTATCACCTATTAAATTACAAGCACTCACTGTATACTCCTCCTAAACGATTATGCGGATTTTGATAAATCTTTCTGAAGTTTGTTAGGGAAATTTTCTAGGATGTATGTGATTATAAAGTACTGGGATGTATGTGCAAAATTGTAGAAATTAATGTGAAATATTGTAAAAAACGACATGCATTGAAACCAAATAAAAACTATGATCTTCCAAAAATTTCAATTCACATATAAATCTAGACAATATTAGAATATGTATAATTAACTTATGATTATGAATAAGAAAAATGAAATGTCTGATTGAATGATACACATATGAAGAGGATATGACAAATTAATTCACTTAAAATATGAAATTAAGTGTTAATCAGGGCAGATCCTATCTTTAATGCAGTGCATGCAAAATATACGAGTGCACGCCTTAGGGGGCGCCAACACAAGATTCGGGTATTAAATTTTCAATATAGTTTTTTTTCAATATATAATTTCTTTGCATCTTTTACTAATCTTTCCACAATATTTTTAAATTTCGTAAAAATTTCACTTTA